GATGGATGGATGGATGGATGGATGGATGGATGGATGGATGGATGGATAATTAGGTAAGCACATTTATTCTCCAGTTAACATCATTTGCCAGCACAACATGCAAATGAGCATAAAACAAAAAAAATGTTTCTACTGGGAAAAACTTAGGAAAAATAAATAAATAAATATAACAGAAAATTTTAAAATCTTTAAAACATTTTGTTGTTTAAAATTATATTTAGATTCATCTTAACTCCCCTTTTGGTGAGGGATCTGAATAGTGAATGTTTGTAGTTTTCAAGATCAGTATTTTTCTGGACTGAAATTGAACCGAGAATAAAAGTAAACAGTGTTTTGGGTGCAAGATATTTAAGTGGGTAGGAATTATACTGTGTAGAAGAACGGAGGTAGTTTTATTTTATTTATTTATTTATTTTCATTTAACTAATTACTTGTTTGAAGAGGGAGCAATTTTATCCACCCCCAAGTGCAATGGTAGAGCCAGGGTGTTGCCAGTTGTGGCCTTCGTGACCCCAATTATTTGGGGAAACCATAAAACATTTACAAGTACCTTTCCCCCCCCCCCAACAAAATGTGTAATTGCCTTATCTTCCACTGTGAATTGAAAAACCGAGATTTTCCTATCAGTTCATGTTGTTTTTATTCACATTTTACACAATGTTCCAATTTTTTTTTTTTTGCAATTAGGGTTGTGGGTAAAAATATTCTACAATGTATAATCTAATTACAATTCTACATAACATAAAATTATGAAGTTTTTAATAATAATAATGTATTCTGTTTTTGTTCAGTTTAGTTAAAAATCAACACTTTATTTAGATATTAAACATTGTATCAAATAATAAGAAACAGAGCACTGAACAACAGCTCAGAGCTTTGGGTCAAAAACAGCCACCTGGAAAATCAGATTTTATTGTGTTGTGAATATTCACATACAAGTTTTCTTTTTTTTTCTTTTTCTGCTTGTGAGCTTTAGATTTATTTGAAGAGTAACAACAAATTTTTTAGATTAAGTATACCAGAGTAAAAAATGATACAAACAATGACGTTTACTTTAGTAAAAGACACATGAAATGACCTTACATTTTTTTGTTGAAGAATCAAAGCTGCTAATAGTTGACAAAGGAAGATGTAATGGAGAAGCATAATGGCACCAAACATTTCTTGTGAATAATTTTCTAGACTTGCTCATGATTTTATCTTGAAACAGATCCTTTGCAACATAATAAATGTAAGATTCTTTTACGTAATTGAGTCAATCTGTAACCGTAGATGAGAGGGTTGATGAGCGGTGGAATGAGGATAAACTCAATTGCTATAAAGTTCTGGAAATTTTGCGGTAAATCCATTGAGCCAAATCTAATGTACATCATATCAAAAAGAAAAGATGCAACAACAACAGCCAAGGAAAATAAATGTGGCACGCATGTCTGCATGAATTTTTCTTTGTTCTCTTTGGATGTCTGGCATGTTTTGACCAGACAAAAATATGACCAAACAATAAAAATAGCATGGCCAAAATAAAAAGTGTAATTAAAAGCTGGGATAACAATGGGTGCTACAGAGGCAGAGCAAGCAAGATTAGAAATCAACA